GTCAAGAAGCAAAATCCAACAATATGCTGCATACAAGAGACACAATTCAAAAAGGAACTCATAGACTGAGAGTTAAAGGGTGGAACACAATACTCCATTCAACGGGAACCTGAAAAAAAGCAGGAGTAGCTATTCTCTTTGCAGATCAAGTGGATTTCAAACCAACACTGATTAAGAGAGACAAAAAAGGACACTACATCTTTGTAAAGGAACAATCCAAAAGAAAGAGATGACAATCATAAACATATATGCACCAAATGCTAGTGCACCCAACTATATAAAACAAATGCTAAGGGACATGAAAAATCATAAATGGACTAATACAATAGTAGTGGGGGACCTCAATGCCCCACTGTCACAAATATCAAAAAATAAGTAATGAAATACTAGAACTCAATCAAATTCTTGAACAAATGAACTTAAAAGATGTTTACATAGTGTTCCATCCCACAAAATCAGAATAAACATTCTTTTCAGCTGCACACGGGCCATTCTCCAAAATAGACCACATACTCGCTCATAGAACATGTTTAAGTAAGTGCAAAGGAATTGAAGGTATCCCTTGTATATTATCAGACCATAGTGCAATGAAATTGGAGGTCAATATCAAAATAAACCACAAGAATTTCATAAACTCATGGAAATTGAACAGCACACTTCTGAATAACCAATGGGTCACAGAGGAAATTAAAGAAGAAAACTGACAGTTCCTTCAATTAAATGACAATGACAATACAACATATTGGAATCTATGGGACACAATGAAAGCAGCCTTACGAGGCAAATTCATAGCAGTGAATACTCATATTAGGAAAACAGAGAGAGCCCAATTATACAACCTGATGCTGAACCTCGAGCTTCTAGTAAAAGAAGAGCAGGACAAACCCAAAGCTCATACAAGGGAGGAAATTATAAAGATCAGAGCAGAAATCAACGTAATGGAGACTAAGAGAATGATACAAAAAAATCAATGAAGCCAAGAGTTGGTTCTTTGAAAGAATAAACAAAATTGACAAACCCTTAGCCAACCTTATCAGAAAAAAGAAAGGAAAGGCCCAAATTCATGCAATTAGGAATAAAAAGAGTAAAATTACAACAGACCCAGCAGAAATCCAGTGGATCATCAATACCTACTTCTAGAACCTATACGCCAATAACATGGAAAACACAGAAGAAATGGACAGATTCCTAGATATGTAGGAATTGCCAAAGTTGAATGAAGAAGACCTAAAAATTCTAAACAACCCAATATCAATCAATGAAATTGAAAACCTAATTAAAAACTTACCAACTAAGAAAAGCCCAGGTCCCGATGGCTTCACTGCTGAATTCTACAAGACATTTAGAGAGGAACTGCTGCCACTACTGTTTAAACTCTTCAATGCAACTGAAAGGGA